AACTCAAGACAGTCCTAGGAGGGGGGTTTGTGAAAGTAAAGAACTCTTTAGCAACATTGTTTTCTAACTCGAGCAAGGTCATGCCAACACGAACAGAGACAATCCTAGACATTTTCTTCTTATCTATTACGAAATTCCAGAGAGAATCGTCAGATTTCCATTCCCCAGGAATAACCATGATGTGTTCTGCCATGGCAGATCTGCGTAGAATAGATAAAAACATAAACAACAAAGGAAAAGAAATCTGAGGCATTGTATAATCAAGAATGTTAGGTTAGGGATCTTTACTAACCTGATGATGAGAAGTGCTTAATTACTTCAGTTTCACAAATCTGTAGCAAGAAAACTAACGACAAAGGTTGAATGTAGAAAAACTGAGAATTAAAGAAGATGAGCTCTTGTCATAATCTAGAACGTTGGATGAATTGTAAACAAAGGTATCCAATGGTTAAAAATAGGCAGATATAAGTCTTGTCATCAATTGGGGAGAATAATCTCAGCCATTGAAAAAAAAAAAGATGAGCGGCTGAGGATTGTGGGCGAGCATGAGTTCGGTTAATTGAGTTTGGGTGTAGTTAGATGGTGGACTAACTAAAATTACTCAATTAAAGATAAGTGTCCATGTATAAGAAAGTGTCTTTTCTTGAAATTAAAAACACTAAACTGCCTCTTGGTGATATATTTTCTTCTTTTATTATTGTTATTATATTAAGAATTAATTTCATGTGGGGACAGTTCACGAGTTTCTCTTTCATCAGGCAGTTTCTTATACATGGGCAGTTTTTGTGTGAAAAGCTGCAAGAGAATGATATTGAAAATATTCATATAATTTACTTTAGTTTTCCATATTGTATGAGCTATTTAAACTCATACATGTTGTATTTTCAAATATTTTTAAACGATATAAATACATCATTCGGTTAAAACTTTGTTACATTCATTTACCAAAAAAAAACTTTGTTACATTCACACCTTACAATGTCTATACTGAAGTTTGATTGGATGTAGTATCTTTTTTTTTTCACGAAGGATGTAGTATCAAGTTAATATATAATGCTATAGGACTACAGGTAACCATTTATATAATATTACCAAGTTAATACTATTTTAATAACATCACCAAGCTCTAAAGTCTGGAAAAAACATTTGTCAGTTTTGGTGTCTAAGTAACAAAATACACTGAAACGACAATTCCAGCATCAATCTTTGACTTGTACAAAAACATGACGGTGCCAAACAATTAAGAATGGTAAACTAGATAGTTGAGGCATATATATAAGATTGATTGATTTTATAAACTTGACTTTTTCAAAAAAAAGGAAATGTAGGCTATCAAAGTCATGCTAGGCTACAAGTTATCAACAAATTGGCCATGTGCGGTTACAGTCAAGTGTAGCATTATTCTCCATGATTACTTCTTTATATTGTTTATTAAAATGCTCTTCAGGTCTATTATAAAAAAATACCAAATATCATCTGCCTCGTCTCGAGAAACAGCCACGACGTCTGTTTAATGCTTAATACAATCCAATTTGCATCATATTCAATAACATGGTAGCATATACTTTGCTGACGTAAGCAAATTGAATATGACAAGAATGTAGAAGTTTTATTTACCATGGGATGAGTTGACTAATAGTAAATGTGGTGGCCATTATAGCCGCCGGGACACGGTGGGGGCTTAACCACGTCACCGTGACATTCGAGGTTAACTCCGAATAACCGCACCGTCCTCGAGCTCCCTGCAACCACCGTCGGTGTCTCAGGGACCGCGCCTACAGTTTCCCACCATCACGACACGTGCATGTCTTTTAGTTACATATATATTTTTAAAAATAACAAAAAGGAGAAAATAATGAGCACGTTAGTCTAAGAGGATTGCATGGTTCTCCTCACGCGCGTGTAAGGGATTAGTTACAACTTGGCGAAAATCATTTTCTTGTCATATATACATGACGAAATAACAAAGAGATATGAGATATCTATAACAAACTAATATCTTGTCTTTTAAGATGAATGTTCTTGTAGAATACCATGTGAATCTGCATAACATTCCAACACACCGTGCATAAAATAATTATTTATGATATAAAATAAACATTATGAACTTATATTTTTTGCGAAAAAGACATAATCTACGAAAAAAATATCTGTAAAACAAACAAAAAGGGTATTAATCTCACATATAGATAAGAAACAAACAAAAAGAAAGAAAAAATGAGATAGAAGATATAATAGAGTTTTACCATATAGTGAATAACCTTGGTGAATGTTAGGGTAAGAACTAGTTGACTCGTGCACTTGATGATAAGGTGTAGTCAAGCCGCTCCAGTACGCCGTCGTATTAGCACGAGCCTCTCGAGACACGGCGGAGACGGCGGAAGGATAAGAAGCCTCGCCGCGTCTCCGCCAGCCAATGAAGAGTCTATGGAAATCAAAACGATGACGTTGGAAGAAAACAACGTCCCCCGCTTCAAGGTGTTTGTCTTTGACGTACTTGCTCCATCCTTTGGTCAACACGTAGCTCTGACTACTGTTCCAATACGAGTATCTGAACTTCCAAGACCTGCCTGACTCGTCCTCGAAGCTAAGAAGCATCCCTTTCTCAGTTGTCATGTCGCCGCCGCTATTATTGAGAGGGAGATATTTCTCGGCGTGTTGTTTTGGTATGACTAAACGGTTTAGCTTTCCTACGTCGCTTGGTGTGAGTGATTTCTCGAACAAGGACTCTCTATGTGATGCGGTGTCGTTTTGGTGGTGGTGCAACGAGAGAGTGTTGTGGTGGATGTCTCTTGAGTAATGATTGACTGACATTTTTTTTGGAGAGAGAGAGAGTAGAGAGGATATGCAGAGGTGTTTGGTGGTGAAAGAGAGATGGGTAATGGTACTAATATAGTAGTATACGTAGGTAAGAGAGAGTGAGTGAAAAAAACTGTGAAAATAGTTAAACTGATGTGAAACTGTGGGAACTATTTGATGTAAATGAAGAGGAGGACACGACATCGATTGTACTTTTAAGGTTTTGCGTGATGATCTTTACAATCATTATTTTCTTTTTTTCCTTTTGTTGTTTTTGCAGTACATCAAATAATCATTTTAAAATATTAGTATTGAACTTTTTTAGTTCTCGTTTGATAAGTCGTTTCCTAATAGCATTGGATCAAAAGAGGTTTTGTTGTTATTTATAGTGTAAGAAGATAATTAAGTGTACGTAGTGTGGTTTTGTCCTAATGTATATATATTCTTAGTAGTTGATTCATGTCGTTCAAGAACTTATATGGTTATATTTTTAGCAACAAAAAGAAGAAGGAAATCTAACGTTAAATATAAACTCGTCTATAATATATATGAGGTTTATACAACCAAGATTGGTGACTATATCTGAATTTCAAACCCTGTTTGAGAAACCATGAGTGAAAGAATCGAAAATTTTGGTTATTAAATAAAAAATTATGACATCAATATCCTATTACAAGCCTCTGTTCTTCAAATTATGACTGGACCAATCGTCAGTAATACCTTTTTCAAAGGTTATAAAACATGGTCTTTTTCGTCTAGGCCAAGCATTAGCAATTTAATTCATATTAGGATTAGAATTTAGAGCCGGCGAGTTTACACTTTAATTACTCCAAATCCTTCATCTTGGTTTTATTTTGTTGGTTTGCTAATATGTTTCGATTAGCTGGGGGATCCATCGGCTGAGAAGTGAAGGGTACAAACTATTAAGTAAAAGTGAAAAGGTACACTGGATACTTAACCCCTGACGCAAGTGAGAAGCTCAAGCTGTAGTGTGGAGCATGTGAAGTGCTTTGCCTTTCCAACACACCATCGCATGCATCTTCACTTCTACTTCACATAGTTCTTACCAGCCCGTATTGTTCATTTCTTACCAGCCGTAATGTTCATTCTCCCTCTCTCCTCTTTTTTTTTATTTTACATTTTCTAATCATTTTATAAATTAAGAAAGATAAAGACTTACTATTTGTGAAATCAACTTGACTTTGTGGCCCTGACTCTATTTTTCTTATTTACAATATTGAACAACAACCATCCCATAAGTTGATGCCATTTGATACCCAACATGCAGTCATAAATGAGAGAAACCAAATGCAATTCACCAAAATATATAAATAGTCAACTATATATAGTATCGCTGAAAACATTGTTAGATACAAAACTTAAGTTGTTGGTTTATAAGTTACTCCATCTATTTTTAAGATTGTATGTTTTTGTGTGTTTCATACATATTATGTTGTTGGTTTATAAATTATTCCATCTATTTTTAAGAATATATGTTTTTTTTGTTTCATACATATTAAAAGTATATTAAAATTTAAATAAAACATATTAATTTGTCATTAATTTTTTTGTGTAGTTCCAAGTTAATAAAATTTTTTTTGTTGAATTTATAGTTTATTATTATTATCGGATAAAATGCGGAAAATGAAAAAAAAACTTTGTTCTATCCGAAACCGAAACGGAAGGACCACTAAATTACAGTAACATTTTTTAATATTATACCATGGGTATAAACTCATAACACGACATGCATGAAAAAAAAAAAAGAGAATACTATAATGACCTCTTGGGCACAAATGAAAGGCACGAGAGGAATCTGCAATGTAATTCGTGGAGGGTTCCTAAAATGATAAACCTGCACATTTCTTTATATGAATGTTATGCTGACGACAAAATTATTTTGTTATTTTTAGAAAGTGTTGTGAGAAGCTTCATGAAACTCTGGGTAAAAGCATGTTTAATGCATGTTGCTTAGAGAGTTGTTTAGGAGGAGAAGAGTGTTTAATTTGAAGAGAGAGAGTTGCTTAGGAGGAGAATAGTTGCTTAATTAAGCAACTATTCTCCTCCTAAGCAACTCTCTCTCTTCAAATTAAACATTTCTCTCCTCTTAAGCAATTCTCTAAGCAACCTCCATTAAACATGTTCTAAGTTGCTACTTTGTTTTTTTATAATTTCTGTTTCTGACATTTTCTCTATTCCCTAGCAAAAATCTACCTTTTGAACTATAAATTTCCTAATATCATCTATTTGGATTTTGTTATCGTAATGTCAATATCTTGACTATCATAATAATATTATTACCATAGGACAAGATTTATTCTGCTCATTGATGCAAATCATGTTAAAGCCAATGGTGTAGTTTCCTGCATGTTAACCAGATTGCGGTGGCTAGTGATTTCAATTGAGTTGCTCTATTGGTTCAGGCTAGAGACAGATTCGCTTCCAATGCAAAATTGCTAATTTTATATGTGATGAAACAGTGTGAATCTTTTAACTATCACGTAAAATAATCAAATTTGACTATCATTAGAAGTCAAGGAATATGATTAACCGGACCTCGACTTGGACACCTTTCATACTCCCTCCGTTTTATATTAAGTGTCATTGTAGAGAATTTTTTGTGTTACAAAATAAGTGTCGTTTTCGATTTTCAATGTAAAATTTATTAATTTTATTATATAATTTATTTTTCTATCGGTTAAAATATGGTTAGGTGTATGAGTAATTGTGTTTTTATATAGGAAATATGTAAAATTAATTGTTTCTTTAATTCGTGTGTATAGCTGTAGAGTGACACTTATATTAAAACAGAGGGAGTATTTAATATAAAAAAATTACGTTGACACCAATAGAGATAGTTAAGAATGACTTAACTAATGTTAGAAACATCTAATATTTTGAGGGTTGAGAAGGGTAAGAACCACTATAAAACTAAAGTACGCTTTGACGAATCACACAATAAACAAGTAAACATTTATACCAGTACTCTTTTCAACTTTTACAAGTCATCTCAAGAAACCAGCTGACCACCATCGCAACCTCCAGATTTGGAAAGAAATATAAAGTTACCGAAAGGTAATGAAATCTTTTACATACGATATATTCCATTACTCATGGTAAACTATTTATTTTTGGTAAAAAAAAACAATCCGTTTTAATGTCATTAACCTAATGTAGTAATCAAGTTAGTGCGAGCTAGCTAGGAGAATCATAAGAGACACATTTTAATACCTACAAAGATGTTGATTGGAATAGCCCTTGGGGTAATACATTACTAATGATAAAAGCAACAATAGTATAGTATAAAATTAGCATAATGCAGAAGATGTATGTTCTTATTTTACGTATTTAATAGTATGATTTGTAGAGCAATAAAATATTCATATATATAATATCATAAAAAATAATATATGGTATATAATTTATTTTCTTTTTAATAATATAGCTCTGATTATATCTATAATACATAAATATGTATATTATTTTATTTCTTAAAAATAATATTATATTCAATTATATAAATTTAATTAAATTTAAAATGTGAAATATTTTTATTTTTAAAATTCTAAAAATATTTTCTTTGTAAATTTTATTTTTAAAAATAGAAATTTAGCTTTTGGATGTAAAAATAATTTTGATATTATCATATAAAATGTATTATTTAGCTAAATATTTTTTAAAAAATTATATATTTTGTATACCAATATTCTACCAAAAGTTTTATATGAGAACACTGATCAAAAATCATTTGGAGAGCATTAGTATCTTCTAGAATTTTTTTTTTTAAATATTGATTGAATAATAAAGAGCATAATGTTATGCTAAGACTCTACCAAAAAAATTTTTCTTTGTTGTTGTAAGAATATTGGTTAAGTTAAACTTAAATTTGGTTTTTTTGAGAAAGCGCTAAGTTAAACTTAAAATTGCACCGTATAATTTGGAAACATTGTATTCTATCTATAAATACAAACTTAACTTTGAAAGATAAGAATGATAACAATCAGAATATTTTAGTCCAATATCGATCATAAAATTAATAAGCTTGATTATAATAATCGTTTGCATGATGTTTTGCATTTATTTACCATAAGTAGGGGACCAAATCTATTTGTTGTATTTTCTATGAAACCATAATTAAATGGCCGGGAGCAGAGGAGAGGACCACATATTTCCTTCACATTTTTTTTCTTATAAAAAATATCTGCATTGTTCGGTATCTTCAGATATATACATATAAAACCCTAAATTTTATGCAGTCCAATTCTAAGACCCAGACCAAAATTTGAGATTGTAAGAGCATCTCATCAAAAGATTATTGTTCAGGTTCACACAATTCCAAAGAAAAAAAAAATTATAATAATCATTTTTTGATGAAATTGTGTTGTGTGAGTTCGCCAAAATACTACGAGTTTATCACTGTTTTGTAAACCACATATCATGTAATGGTCCGCAATTAATTCAATTATTATTATTAGTTTTAAATCAAACAGAAAATAAAAATAAAAATAATATTTTTGGGAATCAAACTCCACCGAATTCGCTAATGAAAATGCTCTAAGCAACTAACTAATCACCTTTTGTAGAGAAAATTACACAAATACATTAAACTGAAAGATAATCAACAATTTCAAAAATATAATGGTATTTTGTTGTTGTTCCAGTCTCTGTTATGTTATTTAACTATTCCATATTGACTGCAATGCACGTGCTACATTTATATGTCAACCACATTCATATTATTGGTCGTTTTGAACTATCGACTATTGCTCCAGCAACAACTATCAAAGAACTATAGTTATTCACAATACTGAAAAGTCAAAGTTGTACAATTAGACGATCGTACTAACAATGATATATGTAGGGAAATTACTAGAAATAACACTTTCAAGATATCACTTTTCAACTTTATACTAACCAACTTTACCATTAAAATTTTAATAGTCAAAATACTATTAGAATTTAGAGTTTAGGGTTTTGGGTTTAGGATTGATAGTTACGGGTTTAGTGTTGATTTT